GGGGAGCTATGAAGAAATATTCCGAATGTCTGACTTGGGTGTGAAAGTCCCAGGAACGTATTTTCCAATCACTGAAAGTGTCAGATAGTGCTCTTGCTGAGCACAGCTCTGCTGGCTCTACGTAAATGTTGTGCTTCTCGCTGTGTAGGTTATATTTGACCAAGTGAGCTGTTTCATTTCTGTATTTCAAGGTATACCTGCAAAGAGCAAGCTTTTGCAGTACACATAAAGATTGGTCACAACATATGGTATAGAAAATAATAAAAAACATATTTTGTAAATAAGCACCCAGGGCCTACAGGGAAGAGGTAGAAGCATGGGCTGTAAAAAGAAAGAAATCAGTAATCCAGAAGGCCACTGAGACAGGATACTTGGGTACTTGTTCCCTCCTTTCAAAAGCATTTATTCTTCCCAAGCCTATGATTAATACACCAGTAATAATCATGGTATGCAGTCTCCACTGCAGTACTTGCCTTCAGATTGCTTGGAAGAACAGTTCTTGTTTGCAGGAGACCATAACTGCACATTTTGAAGGCCCTTTGAGATTTCAGGTTGCTTACATCCAGGTCACCTCAGAAAGGGATGACAGAAATCTTCAGTAAATTTTCCAGAAGAGAATTTTTTTTTCTCATTGATGGTTTCAGAATACTGCTCCAGCAGGTCCTGTTTGGCATGATCCTTGGTTGTGACTTGCTTCCTGCCTTGGTTTGTTGAAAGTACACATTTTAAAGGTGTCTCATTTGCTTAATTACAGAAAATCAGCAAAAATGGGTAAAGGTGATCCTAAGAAGCCGAGAGGTAAAATGTCTTCATACGCCTTCTTTGTGCAAACCTGTCGGGAGGAGCACAAGAAGAAACATCCAGATGCATCAGTGAACTTCTCAGAGTTCTCAAAAAAATGCTCAGAACGATGGAAGGTAGGAATAGCTGCTTAAAAAATAAAAAAGCCACAAAATCTTAAATGACTTTTTTTGAAATACTATTCAAGATTGTAAATTATTTCTTTAGAAGCTCATGTTTTGGGTAAGTATGAAGTGTAGTTATAAAGTGACTGGTAACTATCCACTGTCCTCCTCTTACATTTAGCTCCCCCAGCTGAAATTTTGGAATGGGCTTTGGTATGTTTTTGAATCTTAAAATACTGTTTTGATCCTTATATATCCCTTCTAAGGTATTTTGTGATTCTAATTGCCTTCCAGACTATGTCTTCTAAGGAGAAAGGGAAGTTTGAAGATATGGCAAAGGCTGACAAGCTTCGTTATGAAAAAGAAATGAAAAACTATGTACCACCTAAGGGGGAAACAAAAAAGAAGTTCAAGGATCCAAATGCACCGAAGAGGCCTCCGTAAGTAGATTCCTAGCTCTAAGTGGTCTTTTTTGAGACCATCACACTCGTGTGTATCTATAAAATGGTAATTGTATCCAGGAGCTTCAGAAATACAAGACTATATGCTCTTCCTCACCAGTGGTGTAGAGACAGGTTGAAATTTTAGTTATGAATGCTAAGCTTTTATTTTCAGGTAGGCCATCTCTATCAAATTTGGAGTAATGGCAGCCTTTAAAAGTAGATGCAGAAATAGACTATGTGTGATTCTGACTGATTTTTCTAATTTCTGTTAAGAGGGTAATTCCAGTGTAATATGGCAGTAAAGTACTGCAGGCCCTGCTCTCATCACCTGTTGACTTGAGCAGAATTTTTGGCTGGCAGTCAGTTTAAAATTGGAGGCTTTTGCACAGAACAGGTTTGAAGCATGATCTTCCTCAAAACCAGCTTGGAAAATTAAAACTTTAGCCACAACATAATGACGACTGGCTTCAAATTCATCTATTAGACACCAGTATTTTATTGTGTGTGTACGTGTATGTTTTAAACTGAGCTGATGCTGAAAGGGGCAGGGAAATTCCTTTACAAGCTAATGTTCTTATTTGGGCTGGTGCTGTGATCTGGAAATTTACTTTTCTACCAAATACTGCAGCCCTCCACCTCTAACAGTTCTGACATAACATTTGCTACCTTAGTATCATTGACTTAGTTTAATTTCTAAGGCTTTTTTCTGTGTCTTAAAATCTGCCTATCTAGGGATCCTGCCAAAAATGGGACCAGATGTACAGCATTACTTAAGAGAAAAGGATGCATTGAGTTTGCAAAGTGGCTTGTTCAGTTCTGATACCTTCCATTGTAATCAATGTCTGTCTCACTTTTAGGTGCTTTTTCCAAAATGCTCTTAAGGAACAGTAGCAAAGGTCCCAAAAGTTGCTGCTGTAGCAAAGTCTATAATTTAAATAATCTTCTCTTATTTCTCCTCTGTAGTTCGGCTTTTTTCTTGTTTTGCTCCGAGTTTCGTCCAAAAATCAAAGGAGAACATCCCGGTCTGTCCATTGGAGATGTCGCAAAGAAACTGGGAGAGATGTGGAACAACACCGCTGCAGATGATAAACAGCCTTATGAAAAGAAGGCTGCCAAGCTGAAGGAGAAGTACGAAAAGGTAACACTGATATTTAGGGACATGCTTTGGGGAGGTCGAGCCTCAGTTTAGACACTCTTTTCTTTATTGTGTACCCTGGTACCTGATGTTGTAAATGATAATATGCTAATAACATAATTCATTAGATTTGTTGGGAAGGGTTGTACCCTGGGGTAAACAGTTAATTGGCATAACACTAAATTTGAGTCCTTTACCTTGAACTATTTTCATTTGTCTGTAATTTTGAGCAATTACTGGTGCTTGAATAAGTACTGTGGGTTCTGTATGATTACTAAATCCATAGGTCACAGCAGAATTTGAGTTGAGTTGGTAGCAGTAAGTAATGCTGGTAAGGAATGAGCTGGTTCTCCCTAATTTTGGAGATACTGGTGAGCATCCTTGAATGTTAGGATAATTTATACACATAGCTGGGAAGATGACAAAACACAAAGGAGGTGCTAGTTTTAGGCATGTGGTTTTCCTGGACCTACTTTGTGTCCATGTCCCTTCTAGTAATGAATTTGGTTAATTATGCATATGAAACAGTTTGTCATACAATTTTTAAAATTATTAAGGCTAAACCCTGCCATCATAATTGGAGTTGTAGAATTCTGTCGTGCACACAGGACTGTGCTACACGTGGTTTTATTTCTAGAGGCAGATTCTCATCCCAATATATGGAAGCCAAGGGAAGAGGAGGGATGTATGTTGGCATCCCCTGACGATGCTTCATAAGGAGTCAGCAACCACGTATAGCTGGCATACAGCAGCTATGTCCATTGTATGCTGTCACCTTCCTCTGGGTATTTCTCCTGCTGGCAAACAAATCCAAGTTCAAAGTTTTTGCACTGTAGTGTGCAAGGTGGAACCTTGGAGCCCTGTTGATGTGCCAGAGAGGAGTTACAGATCTAGGAGCTTCCCCTCATGTACTTTCTGTACAGCTTCATAGTAATTGCTTGTACACGCAGCCAAGGCAACTCAGACATTTTTTAAATGATAGAATTATTTGCAGATATTATTTTAATTTTCAGTAGTAATGTCTTTATTTCTTAAGACTTATATGTGGAGTTTTAAGGGGTAGTAATCTTCACTATTTCAGTACTTGGCCTTTGACTTAGTGGGTATCATATCTTCTCAAAATTTCCTGCCACGTTTAAGAGAGTCCAAGAGACCAGTAAGATAAGTGGTGTAGTGTTTATTAGGTGGGGAATATTTGAAGATTTGGACCATCTGTGTGAATGTGTTTCTGTGTAGCTGGTGTGTGTAAGCTTTGTAGATCAATTCTCCCACCTAATGATTTTACTATTTTGGCATGAAGTTGGGAAGTCTTAACTGCTTTTATGACTGTGCCTTCCAGGTACAGTTTTAACTTCCCTGTAACAGGAACTGAATTTTGTGCATTTCAAATGACTGGAATAAATTTACTGCATGCAGAAGGTGGCAGTGTCTACCCTTTAATCAAGTTCTTATACCTTTTATTTTGTAAACTTCTGTTAGGCAGAATTCAGTCTAACTATTCTTTGCTGAGGCATAATATTGCAGCTGTTAGGCTGAGTTATTCTGATATGCTCCGGGTAGCTAATCCCAGGTTTGTGCCTCAAACGAGGGTTTTCCTGTGTGTTTCTGTAGGTATTGTAGAAGGTAGGGCTAGAAAGGGAACTTAAGAGGTCTCCCTACTTCATTTCCTTATGGGGTGGTGGGCTCAGCTGTGCCTTTACCATCAGAGGTAGCAGCTTTTCCAGCCTGTTCCCAGAAGCCAAACAATGGAGGTTCCTTAGCAGCTATAAGCAGTGTGCAGCAGCATGCTGGTGTCATTTCTGTTGTTAGAGGGTTCCCATTTCTTTGGCTTCAGTTCACCTCAGAGCTGAAGCCACAGCTCCTGGTCCTGCCCCAGTGGATATACAGAAAGGGCAGGTACCTGGGTGACTGCTTTCACAAGTGCTCTGTGGAGGTTGCTCAGACCTCTTGGCTGGTTAAATCTTTGAGAGATTGTTCCTGCTCTTCTTCTCCAAGGATATTGCTGCATACCGGGCCAAAGGGAAGGTTGACGGAGGCAAGAAAGTAGTTGCCAAGGCTGAGAAGAGCAAGAAGAAGAAGGAAGAGGAGGAGGATGAGGACGAAGATGAAGAGGATGAAGATGATGAAGAGGAAGAAGAAGAGGAGGATGAAGATGATGATGATGATGAATAAGTCTCTTTTAGAGCAATTTCTTTCTTGTCTATAAAGCATTTAACCCCCCTGTACACAACTCACTCCTTTTAAAGAAAAAAAATTGAAATGTAAGGCTGTGTAAGATTTGTTTTTAAACTGTACAGTGTCTCTTTTTTTGTATAGTTAACACACTACCGAATGTGTCTTTAGATAGCCCTGTCCTTAGTGGTATTTCAATGGCCACTAACCTTGCCTGGTACAGTGTGGGGGTTGTAAATTGGCATGGGAGTTAATAAAGCAGGTTCTTGTTGGTGCACAGCACAAATTTAGTTACATTTGGGGATGTAGTTCATTTCTCATCTTCAGTTGTCTCTGATGCATCATAAAAATAATTGTTGTTCTGTTAACCGAATACCACTCTGTAATTGCAAAAAGGAAGAAAAAAAGTTGCAGCTGTTTTGTTGACATTCTGAATGCTTCTAAGTAAATACAATTTTTTTTTATTAGTATTGTTGTCCTTTTAATAGGTGCCCTTGAGAATCATACTTTTTCTTTTCTTTTTTTTTTTTTTTTTTTTTTTTTTTTTTTTTTTTTTTTTTTTTTTTTTTTTTTGAGGGGAACTCATCTTTTGCTTTATTGAATGCCCGTATGGGATCACGGGAATATTACAGTTTTCATCTTTCATATAACCAGCTGATAAACAAAGCTTTGATCTGCATACCCTGCATTATCATGATAGGGTAAGAAAATAAATATATAGGCATATGATGAAAATCTTCCATAACTGGAAACAACAAAAATTCAATCTCAGCAAATGGATACTTGTTCGGATTTTTGTGAAATGTAATATTCTATTGCGTTGCATGAGTTTACCAGTCTTGGAGAGTTGAGAAGTATAGAGTTCAATTTTACAGAAACTAAATACTTTGCGGGGTGGGGAGGGAGGGAATGTTAAATTTTGTCCTAGAAGGACCCATAGGAAGAGTGTATGTCCATCTGGTGTAGAGAAATTTATACGTGTGACTCTGTTACCATGTAATGGAAGTTATATGTGTAAATCTCTGAACACCTGGGAGTGATGAGCGTACCTAAAATGTGTAAAGTTAAAAGCATGAAATGACCATATTATTTTTTGGTGACAGGTCAGGTGATGGCCATGGGCTTTATACCATGAGACTCCTGGTAGCGAAGGGCCCACAAGAAATGATTTTTCTTTCTAAGATTTCTATAAATGGTACCATTATTATTTGTTAAATCTATGTAAATTCATATTTGTATTCTTGAAATTCTAGTTTTAGCCCTTTAAACAAAGTTGTATATTGTCTCAAATTGAAAATGAGATAAGATGTATTTTTCCTGTTAGGTTTTATACCGCACTCTTGATGTTTGCCCATTTTTAAGTTAAATATAGTTGTATGGAAAAGTACATTTTATTAAATTTTGCATTAAAAAGTTAAATGTTTATGGTATACCAACAATGTCTAATTTGGTCAAATACAGTTCTCTTCCAAAACCAAAGCTAAGGGGTTTTTTTGCATATTTAGTAAAACTTCAAGTGCTGGCAGCTGTAACTATTTTCACATATACCTGCTTACCAGTTAGGGGGACAATTCGGCAATTTTGTGGTTACAAAATTATGGTTCTCTTAAGTGCCAGTGTTTAAAAACAAACAACAAAAAAAGCATTCTTGTAATTTTACACGCTTTTGTGATGGAGTATTGTTTTGTTATACAATTTTGACTTTCAGATTCTTATTTCAATTTGCATTTATGTATAACTTCAGGAGAAATATTGAACATCTGAAATCCTGGATGATACTAATAAACTAATAATTGCAGAGGTTTTAAATACTTAGTTAAATGGCTCACTTAATACTCTAAGGATTTGGGGCTTTTTGTGTGTGTTGGTGTTCTCAGATATGTACATCCCTGCTTTCTGTTTCAAGCAGAAGAATGATGCTGTTTGCAAGGTCTCAATATAGAAAGGGTAGGACAGACAGACTTTTTTGTCTCCTTAAACTGGATATTACACATTCAAATGCTCGTAACTGATGACAAATAAATTTTCTGTGCTGAAGGGTTTTTTTGTTTCCCCAGGTCATCAGAGGAAAGTAGACACATTTTTTGCTCTTGGAACAAGCATACTTAATGAGATCCCCATAATCTTGTGCCTTTGTTCTTGGTGCTTGATGTTGACAGAAGTAACTGAGAGGATTCAGCTGAATTTAAAAAATGAGTAGCAAGTGCTTCCCCAGCAGCCAGGCACGGCCTTTGCCTTGCCTTTGACTTTAGCACATTGGTAACAAACAGAGTGTGCTCAAGGCTGATAGAGGGTAGGTAAAGTAATTATCAGTGCTGCTTACTGAGGAAAAAGAACCCCCTGTACCTGACTGCAGAGGCCAGTGTTGGGTGGGAGATACTCCAAAGCTTCCCCAGGTCTCCAGAGTGGCTGTGGTTTTCTCAGGAGCAGTCTCTATGTGCCTGTAATTCTGCTGAGCTGGCACATGCATATTGGGACTGAAGCCTTGCTTGTGTCTGCTATAAAACTGTTCTGAAACTGTGGAAGTATTTGGTGAAGAGGAATGCCGTAGGTAGATTAATTGCCCTTTTTAAGGAAGAGCTGGTGAGGGTTGGTCCTGGAAAGGACCTCCCTGTTCTGCAGGTGTGTTTCCCTGTAAGCTCTGCTGGTTAAATAATCGTCTTGCTCAAAACTGTCTGAGCCTCTTCACTGATAGGTCAGACTTGGCCACTCCAAGATTACTTGGTCAGAGATCAGTTACTGCTGACACTTCAGCTTGAACCTGCCTCCCCCTTGATCTTTAAAAGTGGATTCTTGCTGTAGAAGAGGGATAATGAGCAGTGAAATTACGACTCTTAAGGTGATGGTTCCCTACAGGGGAACTGACAGCATTGACATCACTGTCAAAAAGCATCTAGGGCTTTAACCTTCACATAAATGTTTGCTGTAGAGGTAAAGGCTTTTCCTTTCCTAAACAACAAAAAAAAATTATTTCTCTGGAGAGAATTTGAATGTTAATATGTGGGAGTTATGATACCTTGAATGCCAAATTAAGCCAGACTGATTTTTATGGTTGTTTATCTCAAGTTGGTCCTGAAAGGAGCTGCAGTTGCAGCCACCTAGATATGCTCTGTAATTTTAAGCTGGTTTAACTAAATGTATGGACAGTGTTCATCCCTTCTGCTGAGCTTTCAGTGATCACACCAGCTCTAGCAAAAAGCTGAGCTTATTTAACAAAATGTTTCTGTCCAGGCAAACACACCCCTGGAAACGTGAACTAAGGGGTGTGAAGTGGCTGATTTCTGCAGCTTAATTAGGGCACTGCTGACACAGCCTCTTTACAGCTGCTTTTATCAGTGTAACCAGCCCATCCTGAAAGAAAAGACTGAGTAACAACTGGGTCTAGGCTTGCTGGAAAGTGGGAAGATGGATTTGAGTAACTCCTCCAGAAGAGGAGCCAGGTGGACTGCAGCCACAGCATTAGGTTCTCTGGATGGGGGACAAGCCGAGCTTGGAAAAAACCTCTCCTAATTCTTGCTAGCCTAAGGGTTAGACCTGCTAGTTAGAATAAACATTCCCAGCTATGCCTGACAGGAGATTAAAGGAATAAAGACAATGTGCTGTGTTGGGTTATAATGAGTTATTCAATACAGAGTCTGTAAGCGAGACATGGCAAAATACAAAGATAGTGTTTAATACAAGAGACGATTAATTTTCACCGTTTCCAGGCTGTGCCAGTGGCAGCTGACCAGCTACAGGCTTGTAGGACTCAAATGTACCAATCATCTTATTAGTAACAGTAAAATGCCAAATATTTTCAAGCATTCCTCCATTATATTCTTTAGCTTACAAATCTGTACTTCTCTGCAGATCACATCTTTTTGGGGCACTTTAGCAGAAAATAACTGACATTTATTTTCCTTTGGCAGGCTGCAGCAGATATTATTTTAGCACATGAAATACATTCAGAGACATTTTACAAATGTGCTAAGTCCAATGGAGTGCCTAAATGTGGATGTGTATTGATAAACTTTTTCCCAGACTTAGCTACTGGATTGCACTCTACATCTGAAAACCACTTTGAGGTGGTCTTTATTTAGCCTAGTATAGATCCACTTTAACACCAACCTTTATTTCAAAACAATGTACTTGCAGGCAAGCTGTCAGACTATTCCAATGTTTGAGTAAGAAAAAGCAGGAAAAGTAAATCTCCAAATTTTTTATCATTTTGCTGAAGTTGTCTTGTATTTTTATTTTGTAAATGTTGTGTGTGCCCTGGCTTTTCTTTTGACAGTACTTCAAGCTGAAAAACAAAGATGGATTTTTTTTTTTTTCCCCAGTGAATTTATTATGAAGAATGAAGGTCAGATTCCTCTTACGGCTGCTTTGTGCTGTTGAAAAATACAGTGTGGCTTCTGCTTCAAGAGCACCTAATTTTGAAATCCATCTTGCTTGAAAGCAATTGCTATTAGAGGTGACCCACAAGAGAGACAAGCCTTCCCTTTTGCCACTCTGTGATGGAATAAAAGACTTGAGTGATAAATTAGCTTAGTCTACCTGTTTGCCACATCAGAAGCTCAAGCCTTCCCTGCAGCAGGAGTGCTGGAGATCAAGCTAGGCAGCAAGAGGGAGAGCAGCATGGAGCAAGAAGGACAGACAGGCAAATGTGGTTTTTTTTTAACTACACCTTTTAAAACCTTGCGTCTATTGTTAAAAAGTGTTTTGACTTAAATGGCGGTCATTTGGCACAGAGGAAGTTTATCCACGTGCTTCCAGCAACCTTTCACCTATTAAGGCAGCAAAAGCTCAATTCATGTATTTCTGACCTCCCAAAAGTTCCTCAGTAAAAACAGGAAGGACCAAGCACTACAGCTTGAATGCCTGGAAAGGACCCATCTCCCTGCACATCTTAGAGCAGCAAGAGGTCACCATGTAAATGCTTTTTCCAAGAAGCCATTCAAAAAATCAGGCTTACAGAGGGAAAACCGAGGACATGTGCTGCTGTGTTTGGCAGGGGCATTTGTAACCAAGGATAAAAACAGTTTTGAAGAAATGTCTGGGATGACATCCCTGACCTCCTGCTCCTTCCCAAAGTGAAATGTAAGAAAACAATGAAAATAATATCTTTATGGGAAAAATTCCCCCTTGCCAAAATGCTGGGGTTGACCACACTTTTCCTCATCCCATCCCAGGGGAAAATGCGCATCCCCGAAACACTGCAGCAGCACTACAGAGGGCAACTGGGGGGGGTCAGTCCCAGCAGCCCTCTCCTTGCTGCAGCTCATTCCTGGTGTTGGGGAGATACTGGGTGTGAAAACTCCTGGGCAGAACACCAGGTCATGCCAGGGCTGGGTGCCTCATGCCTGGCTTTGAAACGCAGAGCAGAGGGAGCACGGGGTAGTGGGCTGCAAGTAGGTATAGCAGGAACCAGCCCCCTGAAAACTCAACCAGGCAGCTGAAAGTAAAATCAAGGTGCTCTTTAAAACAACTCTCAAATTTGTGGTGGTGATTCCTCGAAGCGAGAACTTTCTTGCAAGACGTGCGCTGGTAAATGATTGAATAACAGTGACTCATGTTTTATTATCAGACTTCACTGTAGCGGCGCTTATGCTCGCTTCAGATTTGTTGACACACATTTCTCCTGACGCCTGCCAATAAGGAAGATGCTGTGAAGCAGCACTGTAATGTAAAACTGGTACAGGAAAATGTGAGGGCTGATCACAGCCTGAGCCCCTTGGCACCAGAGCAGCTTTTGGGAAGAGAGGGATTGGTTTTGCAGTACCAGCAACCGATGGAAAGTGCTGGTGAATTTCTGCTCCAGGGTGCTGAGAGGCTCAGCACCCACATGGGTTGTTGGGTCATTTCGCAGGACCTTAGAACCTGCCTGAGACTGATGTCTGGTCCCAGAGTCACAACCTGGAGTGTTTAAGTGCCTCCCAGTGAGGCTGACAGTGAACGAAACCCCTCCTTGCACCAGTCCTACCATATCTGAATCTCCTTCCAACACTGTTTCCTTTGAGGTGGAAGAAGGAAGTGATCTATTTTTGGGGAGCATTCACACCAGATGTTTGGTGATGGCAACACTGTCTCTATCACTGCATGCTCTGCTTCCGCACAGGAGCCCCCAGGCTCTGCCTCCCTGCCTCTGCCGCCGGTGACCCTGTCCCTTCCTCCTGCCCTGCCTGACCTCCACTGCTGGCAGCCCTGCTCCAGGAAGAAGGAGTGAATTCACCTCCCCAGCTGCTGGAGGCTGGATCTGCAGCTTTCAGGTAGGACAGGAGCATTTTCCTGCTGCTCCACCACTCCCAAGCAATCAGTCCTGTGGGGCTAGGGGCGCTCAGGGGGATACCCCCAATACCAGGAGCAGCACTTGTCTTCTACAGACCCATGGCACAGAGGGATAAACCATAATGTTGCTGCTGTCACAGAGTGCAACATTCTCGGGATGTGCTGCTGCCTGGAATCGATGTTCCTGGTCTGCTGGCCACTCGTCTTTGAGTCCCCTGTTCCTTCTGACGTGGGTTTTGCTTTCCATCTGAATCATTCAGCATGACTTTGGAGCACAATGGAGCTGTGATTTTTTTCGAAGCCGCCAGCCTGCAGGAAACAGAAGGTCTCTGAATAAAAGGGAGGCTCTTGTTACAACTTCCCTCTTATTTACTGTTCCCAGTAGCAGAGAAGTAAAAAGACAATGAATGAAATGGAGGATTAATCACGCGTAGCACTGAAATATAAACAAGGAGACAGTGCGTTCCAGAGCAGTGGCTTGTGCCCACAGTGTGCAGAAATCTCTCATCACTGAGACCTCCTGGATTTCATGAAAAAGGCCAAAAGGCAGAGGAGGCTCCACAGGTGGTTTTTCAAAGGTAAACTTGCAAACTGGGTATTTTCCATGGACTTTTCTCTGTTCAGTGCTCTCAAAACTTGAGTTCAAGTTGATAACCCCTGTGCTTAATCACTAGTTCATGACTTTTGCAGAGGTAACTCCCTATTTGCCTATTTTTCTGCATTTATTTTAAACCAGTAAAATTTCAGGACAACTCCTTTGTCCTACAGAAGATGTTTAAAAATGCTTCAGAGAGAACCTACTGTGCTGCACAGTGTGTAGCTCTGCTCCTAAAAGGGGTTTGTGGTCATTAGCTTTGCTCCCTTTTCCACTTGCTTGGGTTGGTATCCAAACACCAAAGGATTACTAATCATGTTCCTTATTTATTTTCTAAATCAGAGATTTACCTGTATTTGATTTCCAGCTATAGATTTTGAGCATTCACACCGGCCTTTGCAAAGGTGTTGATCTCAAGTTAATTGGTTATAAATTAACCTTGGGAGGCTGTTTGTGTGAAGCAGATTATGTGCACGCAGCTTTGTGAAGGTTGTTAGTGAAGCAAACTGTAGGAAAGAAAGGCGGAAACAGGGATGCATGACACAATTCAAATTGCCTGAAATGCCTGTAACAAACAGTTGGTTTGTGCGTCTGTCAGGTAAGTACTGTTGATTTTTTTGGCACTGGGATGATGCATTTAATGTCAGGGTTGAGGCGAAGTGGAGTGCATAATTATAAAACTGATAGGGAAGCTGCTCCCCATCCTTATTCAAAAGCTCCAACAAACCTCTTAACTGTTCATTTTACAGTTCTCTTTAGAAAACATGCAAGAAAAACCTCAGGAAAGTTTATTTGGGCCACCTGCAATAATAAAATTGAAGTGATCCAAGCCTGAAAATAACACCGTGCGTCTCCAAGTGAGTATAAAAAACCAGAGCATGGGATATATTTAAGCTAAAAACCAAAACCAACCCATGCTGCTTAACTAATCCTTGCTGTAACCTTCTGCCCAGACTTTGCCGGGGACTGGGAGCCAGGGGCAGGCCCTAGGAAGGCAGGAGCCCTGCCAAAGGCTCCTCCTGGCCTCGTCTCCCTGCCCTCCTGGGGGCTTTCCAGGTTGCACTTTGTTTCACTTTCTCTTTCTGCTGTGCAGGGCTGTGCTGGAAGGGTTGCAACATCCTCTATCAATTATTTACACTATTTGCATGGAAATCATAACAAAATACATATTTTTTAATATTTGGATTAATTTTTTTAATACTACTAAAGCTGTGCTGGTGTTGCATTAAACTAGTTGGTGATACTCTTTTAAATGTCCTTTCTAAAGACTTTTTAGAATTGCATTAACCTCTCAGCTGCAGCTTCCCTGTTTACACACAGCAAAAGGCACTGCCAGCCTGAACCTGCCAGGTCAGGAGCAGAAGGGTGACCCCTGCAGCTCCCACCACCCTGATCCCTTGGCACCTGCAGCCTCCAGCTGACTTGATTTGCCAGTGGTTCCGTGGTTGGGAAGAGGAGGTGGGAAGAGCTGCCTGGAGTCTTTGGTCATGGTGTGAGTGCTTCCCAGACAGGTGCTTGCTTCTTTGGTACCTATTTTAGGGTAATTAATAATAGAGAACTCCTGTGCAACCCAAATTTAGACACTCTTTGGAAATCCAGAAAAAAATATTCTGGGAAGAGTTTGTGGGGTTTTTTTCCTTCTACCCACTACAGAAGATGTTTGAGGATCTCAAGTCAGGATGGGGGTTTGCCACTGTGGGCTGCTTGGTCCCCACTCTGGTTGCAACCTCCAGGTTTGGCAGCTCTACCATTTCCCTGGGAAGCCTGTCCCAATGCTTGACAAAATGCTAATAAGTGTTTTGCTGGTTTTTTTTCTCTTTCCCCAAAACTTTCAAGTTTCAGCACACTACTAGCAGAAATTTGATGAATCTTCATGATAAGAAGATTCCCAAAATTTACAGGGCTTTGCTGGCTTTTGGTCTTGGTTTTGACTACTCCAGCAAGTCACTTGGCATTTTATAAAATTGTCATTCTACAGCATAATGAAAGAAATCGATTATATATAGTTTCAAGGTCTGAGGGTCTGTCCCTGCCAGGGTTCTCACAGGCTTTACTCTCTCTCTCAAGGCTTCTGGGTGCAGGACCCGTGGCCAGGAGCCTTAAACCTCAACCCTCAAAGTTAAGGGGAATTTCTAAAAGGGAAGGTGTGTGCTCCGTGTCTCACCCAGCCAGGGTGAGAGGGAGCACAGGGAGAGGGGCGCAGGGTCCTGCCCCCTGCCCCAGAACCATGTGCCTAAATCCTTTGGTGTCCCCTGGGGTGCTGCAAGTAATAGGAGCTGCACGAGGTGGTGACAAGTCCCCAGCATTCCGGGTATTTGATCCGAGGAAATCACCAGCCAGCCAGGAAATGTCAAGGTTACGTCACATGCATAATCTTTTAAAGCCCCGAAAAGGAGCTTGTTAAAATGTGTCTCTGCAGTGTGATCCCAGTTCCTTTCATTTTGCTTTGCTCTTCCACTTTATGGGAACAGGCAGGCAAATCCTCCTCCTACATATCACTTTACTTTTCCCTCCCTTTGACTTACAGCACTGTTGTTTGCCATGGCCTTGCCACTCACTGGGCTGGAGGAGCAAGTCCTTACTTTGCTGGGCCCCCAAGGGAAGATGTTGGTGTTGCCCAGGGCCTGTGGGGATACAGCTACAGCCCAGCTTGTCTGCACTGGGAAAGAAGGGAGAGGATGTGAGAGTGGAGCTGCCATCCCTTCCCCTGTGTTTGCTCATGTTCCGGGTGGGCGCCCTGGGCAGCCCAACAGTGCTGCAGGGAGGTGCCAAAATTTCACAGAGCAAAACTGCACCTCGTTATTCCACTGATCCTGTAAAACTATTAAGGAGCATCCAGCAGAGTATGTGACACACACATGTTTAATTTCTTTTACAGTTTCTGTTTTGATAGATGCTCAATGTGTTTTTATAAAACAAAGATTTATTGGAACCTGGAATTTTATGACTTTAAGGTTTGCTTGAGTCCAGACTGTGAGTTTCTCCTTTTGGAAGAAGAAAAGGTTTAAAAGAGCCCATCTGCCTGTGGCACTTATGAAACCCTAGGCCAAGGATGACACCTTTTCCCGTAACTTCTACTATAATGTCAAACAAAAATTTACCATCAAATATTATGCCTTCCATATGCAATGCCCTGCTGTAGATTTAGATCACAGCAATCGTGTTGGGCTTCTCTCTTTCAAGTTTTTATCTGTGCCATAAGGAAGTCAGGACTCAGTGTAGGGTCCAAGGAGGAGCAGCAAGGCAGGAAAAACCCGAACCATACATAATTAATGACAATGTGCCTTCACTTGTGCTCTTGATTTTTCTTGTAAAAGCACAGCAATGCCCTTGCTGCCTGCAAGGCTGAGGAAAGCAGTGTATTTTTAAAACACAGTCCCAGTGTTAGACAGCTCCAAGTGCTCTGGTAGGAAACAACCAGCATCCAAGGAAGCAGAACCCGAGTCCAGCTCTCTGGTTACCACGACATAAGTAAACAAACAAGTTTATCACAAGTAATGAGGGCATTGTGCCAGTTTCAGTTAAAATAATGAAATAAATAAAAAAGAAATCAACCCCAAACCAACAAATCATTACGGCATGAGAAAAGTCCTGAATGAAATTGATTGTTCGTGCCAACACCAGAAATATATCTTGTCATAAACTCAGGCCTCCACATCTGCTTCAGCACTAGTGGATTCTTTATAAACAGCCTCTTTAATTTTATCTAACAGCCTGTTAGCAGACATGGAGTCCAAAAATACATCTCCTTTTCTTCCTCGCACTATCCTGAGCTTGGCAGGGCACCAAACATGAGGTTCAGCTTGTAATTCAAAAAAGCCCTTCTTTAAGTATTGACTGAGCTTGATTTAATAAAAATCCTGTCCAGCTTCCTCCAGGCAGCCCTAATGGGATGCAGAGCCCAGCGCTTCTCAGGGGCTGCTCCAGACCTGCTGTGTGTTGGCCAGTGAGATTTTTTTGTAGTGAAACAATATTGCTCTGTGGTGGAGTTGGGGAACTGACTGGTGTTCTCCAGAATGTCTCCCCTGAGGGGTGCACAGCTTCACTTTCAGCTATGCCACCCTCTGAAAATGGAAGTGAGCAGACAGCACCATAAAAACAGAGCAGGGGATGTCCTGGTGCTCCTGGTAGCTGCGGGGATGCTCCAGTGCTGCTGGTACCCCCCTCTCACTGGCCCTGCCTTCCCCAGAGGAAGGAGAGAAAAGCGTCTAAGACCCTAAAGTGACTTCCAACCCCTGAGTTCTCCTGGGGGGAGATCTATCCATTGTGTCCCCAGTGTGGCACTGCCAAGCACTTGTAGGTGCTCCTGAAGGAAAGATTGGGTATTCACTGAAATAGAAGGGGTGTTGCACTGGGGTGGTTCCCAGAGGGTAGCCCTGACACCAGAGGCTTCCTGACGCTGATATTCCCAAGCCCAACACTGATTTTCTGGCTGCTGATTGCCTGGGAAAGCTGGAAGGTACATTGGCTGACTTTTAATGCCAGGACAAGAGTGGCTGATGTCACCTTAGAAGATGAAACACATTCCTGCTGTGAGGACTGCACCAAATTACAGGCCCAGATTTCCCAAGAAATTAGTGTGAGAAACACTGCACAACACCACTGTACACATTCACTGTAACACAGGAACTCATTAGCTGCATAGTTGAAAATGTTAATAATTATCCCATTTGACAAACCAAGGTATGTATTTCAAACCTCAAAGTTTGCTGTGCTAAAGAAATATTAATGGCCTGCCATGCCATTATGTCTGGGGGGAAAGGATGTTTTGTAATTTCTCCTCATGGCTCAGTTGTCTATTTAAATTACTTGGAAACTAAACCAGCAGCAAACATAACCACTGCTGTTGAGAGGTGTGGTTAACAATAAGTAGATTTTATTTAGCATTACATCAAAGGATGAAATTGAGTAAAATAAAGGAAAGGGAAGTTTCTTGAGTGGTCAGTGAGCCAGACATGGAGGAGGATCAACAGAAATCCTGCAGAGCCAATCCCATCACTTGGTCATGCTGACAGAGGCAAATAGTTGAACAGCACAGATGTTAACAAAAGGGAACTATAACATTTGGCAAAGTGCACTGCAAGTCTGTGTGATGGAGGGGCTCTGTTGACTGGTGTGGGGGATGCTGGTGGCACCCTGGGGTTTTTCATCACCTCCTGGGAGGGATTTTCTGACCAGTCCTTGTGGTTGTGCCAGGGAGGCTTGAGAGCCTTGCGCTGCTTGGCTGCCAATTCTCAGCAGCACGTGACCCAATAATAGGGAGGGATCCAGGATTTGCTGAGGGGTTGTGGTTCCTCCAGTCAGGTGCCAAATTTCACTTTACAAAGAGCACAAGCATTTATCCAGTGGTACCTTACTGATCTGAGCATGGCTGATGTCTTTCAGCTGAATATCAGCTGAATTTCAGCTGAATATTAAAGAGAAACAGATCAAAGGCAGACCACTGAACAGGAAAAGTGGGTTTAGCTGCCCAGCTGTGAGCTGCAGTGCCCTAATCCTTCCCCTTATGTGCTACAACAGGATGCAATTCAATCCTAAATTACTGAAAATCTTGATGTTTTGTAAATCACATATCAGAAGGTATTTTATTTATACAAGCATCTACTCATTAGCAGTATCAAAATCTTGGCAATACTGTGCACGCTCTGCAGGAGTTCTTGTCAGAGCTACATTTCACAACTCAGATAGCCCCAGCTGAGAGGTACACATACACATCCTGGCATCTCTTTTTTTGTCCAGACCTATGACTGGTGGGGTCAAATGGTAAAGCCACTTCTGAGCGAAGAGGTCTAGAGGGATATGGTGAGCAGGGGAGCAAGATGTGGGCAAGCACAGCACCTCTACTCAGGTGGTGGCTCTGCCACGTTTAGAGACTTCCCAAAGCTGGCTTGATGGACCTCTGGGAAATCAAATCCCTCTCCAAAGTCCCTTCAGCCTTGCTTACTCTCCCTGGAGCTTGCAGGTAGTGACAGTCAGGCTCCAAGCATTCTGTGACAGTTGCTCCTAAAAGCTTCTAAAATCTTTCTCCCAGTGAAGCCTGGAGGAGCTGATGCTGCACTAGGAAGGAGGAAAAATAGGAGGCTAGAAAGGGTCACACCAAGGCTGCAATTTCCAAGTAAGTGTGAAGGAACTGGATGCCTTAACACCCTCCAACTTAAACACATAGCCTTGGCTGTTAATGGAGTGTGCCATAAAACTGCATTTTCTTTACCTATTCAAGAAGAATTAGAGGTAGAGACCTCTTAATGTTAAGCAGGAGAAAACTTTTTGGCTGTGAAGGCTGTTCTTCCACGCAGGAAAGTTGCTGGCAGAAAATGACAGCTTGTGGACACACAGAGTCAAGAGTGGCTGCAACAGCAAAGAAGTGGAAGAAGGGAAACAGCCTCAGATGAAAATGAGACCATAAATAGAGAAATAAACAGTCTGAGGTGTCCATACATTTCATGGACTCACTTCCCTCCTTTTCTAGCATTCTGCTGAGCACTATAGCAATATTCAAGCCATTATTACATTACAAGTCTTTCAGCTTTTCTGCCTGAAAAAATAGTCATCACTTGTAAATTGAAGGCATCACTCTCTTATCTGGTCTGCAGCCAGAAGGGCTGGAAGCAATAGAAGAAGTGTGAACTTTTTCCTTCATCTCAGAGAACATTAACTTCAAAGCCAAGCCATAAACTTTCAGATGTAATGACTATTTGTCCAAAAGAGAAACACATCAGCTTGATCAATGAGTGAAAGGTATAAAACACAGAGGTTACATTTGCTAAACACTTGGGAAAAATGTGTGGTTATGCTTGGGTGTGTGGAGGGGGGAGTTATTACTGAGTTATTAGGACAGGCAGGCCCAAGGGACAGTGTGAGGATTGTTGTGGGTGTTTGTAGGTCCAGCACCGAGTGGTTTCTGTCCCAGAGGAGGCTGGGCTGCCATGTCAGAGCACATTCCAGCACACCCTTGAGTGCAGACCCTCATCACTGAGTGGGGATCGTCGCTGTGTTGGTAGCCACACTACTCTGCTTTTCCAATAAACTGGGGGAGAAAACATCTCTCCTTTCAGCTGCTCAAACAAAGCATTCAGGACCACCAGCACTTCCTTCTGTGTCCTTGCTCCAGCTGTGTGAATGCTGACTGGAGAAAAACCCCCTATGGGTGCATTGCCTTGTCCCCTGAGCATGGCTGAGCTCCAGGGCACAGGGTCCAGCACAGCCAGGCAGGTGTGCTCAGAGATTTCAGATACCTTTGGTAAGGCTCCCCACATCCTTCTTCCTATTTTTTAAACATACTTTTCATTTTTCTGATGAAAGCCCCATGGAAATAGAGAGTAACAATGGGGTTTTTTCCCATGGCTTTCGTATGAGAAATTTAGAGGGATGAAAATTTATATTATGTGACTTTTTTTCTGAGGATAACCATTGCCCTTCCTGATAATATCCCTTCTCCCCTCACCCATTAGGGCTTCCAGGAGTATGGACCCCATCTTCTCCATGGGCAGTGGGTGTGTGTGTGATCCTTGTGCATGGTACACAGTGTTCAGAGAGGGCACTTTGGTTAATCAACTCTTTGGTGAAAGTGTTTTTAGAAGGCGTAATTGGGAGGACTTGCTGCTGGGCACCAGCTTCTGTTTGATGGGGCTGGGGAATGAGGTCCAGACCTGTGTGATTCCTGTCTGAGGACGGAGAGGAGGAAGTGCTGGAGTATGAAGAGGGATTTTGAAAGGCCTGTAACATCTTCTGCCAACATCTTTTTTGGATCAGCACTGCGTGAACAAGTGAGAGCCTGGAAGGGCTGTGTCATCTTTGAGGACAGCTGGGCTTGCTGGGGGCAGCTCCATTTGGGATGGGAGGCAGAGGGTTGCTGCCACTGCTGGGGGTTGCTGGCTCCACAGGCTTCTCATCCTGCTTTCCCCTGTGCTGTGCTTGTCTGTCCCCTAACTCCTCTGTATGGTGCCAGAATGCCTCTATAGGGAACCAGAGAGCAAACCTGAGCCCTTCTTGCTCACCACACATTTTTGTGTCCCCAAATCCCTGTTAGAGTGAATGGAGCTGGTGGGATCTACTCAGGTTCCTCACTATACAGGTGGTGTTGGGAGGAGATGGTGGCTTAGCTCTTGAAATTTCTAC